TAAAATGCCAATCAATTTATAACATTTTTGACATGCGTTTTTCTGTATTTTGTTGTTGTTATTCTGTCTCTCACTGTTCAAATAAACCTACCATTAATATTATAGACTGATCATTTCTTTGTCAGTGGGCAAACGTACAAAATCAGCAGGGGATCAAATACTTTTTTCCCTCACTGTACAAGGGCTGTTGCCGTGTATGAAACACTATCGCACTCAACACTCTAAACTCACACCAGAGGTAGGTGCTCTCTATCTGGGCCCTTTACCCCGGACACTGAACAATATATGGTCCTGCCCTCGGCTATCCTTGAGGGCTCTCTCACTCGTCTGCCCAGAGCGGGGGTTCATCCAACACCGTCCGGCGACGAGGAGGGAGAAACCCTCTCTCAGCCAATCCTTTCTGAATGCTCAGGACCCTACTCTCGGCTATTCACTTGGCTCTCCCACTCGTCTGCCCGGAGCGGGGGTTCATCCAACACCGCCCGGCGATGAGGACAGAGAGACACCTTGCAACCGATCCTTGCCATGGCTCCCCACAACGACCACGCTTTCGTCATGGTGTCCCCCTTATGTACCTCTTTGGCGGCTCCTCCCCCTACCTCGGACCCGCCTTTTTTCCCGAAGGTTCCTCTTATACCACCTGTGACATGACGTGATCCCTGTCAACTCGCTCGCACCTCCGTCTGTTCGCCCCCTCATGGTTGCTCACAATACTCCCCGTAAAAAAAATCAGCCGTCCCGGCTGCTAACTGTACTGAAACCAACCCCGCATCGGGGTCGACGGCAACCAGCCAGAAAGCCATCAACAAGAACAATTGTAACAATAACCACAATAACAATATCAATGGAGGTGTGGTGGCATGGCCGTCTGCGGGGGGGGGGGGGGGGGAGGCAACAAGGGTGTTTAAGGTAGAATGGAAAGTGCAAGGAAGGTTTTCATCCCTCGGTCCAAGGTGCCGACCACCCCCGTCGGCGACGACGGCCCAGGAGGAGGTGGTCAGCGGAACAGAATGCCTCTGGACCGCTCCCACGGGCAGCATCCCGTTTGTGAGCGGGCGGCGCGTCTGTCGATGTCGGCTTTTCCACCGACGGGGAATCCGGCGGCGCCGCGGGAACTACTCGGAGGGGTTCTGTGGGCGGACAGACAGACAGCTTATGCTGCACCGCATTCCCGGCCAGGACGGCCCGGCTCGTCGGACGCATCAGGCACCGGCCGCTCCGGATTTGGGGATTGAATCTACGGGACAAGGCAACACATCTTTTCAACCGAGATGGATGAACAATTCAGTGACGGTGACCGAATCGGATGCGCACGCGCTGTGGCCGGCGGAGCTCCACGACCTAAACGGGACCCTGCCAAGGGCGATGTCATTTATGGGACGTCCCAATGGGCACCTGGGGGCAGTGTCGCCATGCTTTGTCCCCCTTCCTCCACGGAAGCCCAGATCCCTGGTGTTTCTGCAAGCGCTCATTAGCCGCTTGTCGGTTGGCCAAATTATCCACAGCAGCTTCCCGTGCTTCACGCAATCTGTCAAGCGTGACCTTCATCGAAGCGGGCACGGCGGATCCCTTTTTAGAGGAGCCCAGGCCCATTTGCACGTGCATCGGGGGTTCGGGCCCCCTCCCGTACATCAAATAGAAAGCCTGGCTAACGTGGCCCCTGGCCTGGCTAACCTGGCCCCTGGCCTGGCTAACCTGACCTGTGGCACGGCTAACCTGGCCCCTGGCCTGGCTAACCTGGCCCCTGGCCTGGCTAACCTAACCTGGCCCCTGGCCTGACTAACCTGGCCCCTGGCCTGGCTAACCTGACCTGTGGCCTGGCTAACCTGGCCCCTGGCCTGGCTAACCTAACCTGGCCCCTGGCCTGGCTAACCTGGCCCCTGGCCTGGCTAACCTGGCCCATGGCCTGGCTAACCTGGCCCCTGGCCCGTGGCCTAGCTAACCTGGCCCGTGGCACGGCGAACCTGGCCCGTGGCATGGGCCACGCGCACTCACCTCTCGTGAACAAAGTCTTTAGACCGGGTCACTTGACTTGGAACAATTTAGTAACGAAGATTACGGTTCACAATTGGCTCTACAGTGCGTGGCCACTTACGTAATTATCTGACCACGGCCAAAGACCCACCGAGAAAGTCACAGACTTCCTCCGACCTCCTAAACCTTGTGCCGGCTGATGGCTGTTGACATGGTGGCATCCCACAAGATCTCGTTTTGAGGTTCCTGTACTTGTACGGATGCGCGGTGAACTTCTTTCGCACCGTACGTAGCCAACCGCGCTAATCGGGAAGTGCGGTGGTGGGCGATGGGGGGGGGGGAACATCGCAATCGGCGCGCCGGCAAATGCTCGTACCGCTAACGTTGCCGAGCCGCGTCGGGTGGTGCAGGGTTTTACCGACACAGTATGGGCGAGGCCATTACTGCGACGGTCTCGAGACTCGCCGAGGCTTGTCCTGACAAGAACGACGCGGAGCGACGGGCCGAGTTTATCCGAGTTTTTTTTTATTTCATAGATGCCGTGTTACTGAAATGGGACGCTCGTCTGGGTTTTAGAGGGGAGAGGGAGCGCGCAGGAGGATGCTGCAGGGAGGGCGGCACGGGAGGAGGAGGAGGAGAGAGATATCGGCAGAAACAGTGAACAGCAGCGGTTCCAACCGGGGATGTCACAACTCCCACCCATCATCATCAGCACCACCACCACCACCATTCACAATCATCACCGCGACGACCATCATTACCATCATCGTCATCGTCACCATCATCGTCGTCATCATATATATACTTTATTTCGTTTTTTTTACACAAAAATAGATTTTGCTATTGAGTTGATATATTTTTTTTTAATCCCCACGTAACCCCCCCCCCCCCCGTTTGTTAAACTCAATTAACGCCTCTCCTCATCTCGTCACCAGCTTAAGTTCTTTTGTTTTCTTTTTGGCAAAATATTTACATTTATAACCAATAAGCGAAAACACCCCCCCCTTCCTCCACAACAAACCCTCAACACACACACACACGCCACACACACACACACCCCGTGTAGCCTTACAGACTGCTTGAGGGGCGGCACGTGCTGTTAGCGAGCACCTATTAAGGCCGGCAAGGCGCACCTAGAGAGGGGGGGAGGTGGTGGCGTGACCAGCACCACACCCCGCCCGGCCGCCTTTGTCTCTCACACAGTGCCGATGTTTTTACTCCGCACTGGGTACTCATTTAAGGCTGAGTCGACCTTGAGAGGCGGTCCAGGCCAGTTCTAGACGCCACTTCTGCCATGGCCGGGGAATCGAACCCAGTTGAGCTAGGTTTCCTAGTGCAGTGTGCCAACCGTTGCGCCACCGCTCCCCCCACCCTCCCACCTCAAGACGCACAAAGACACATACACATATACACACGTAAATCCACATACACACACGAATACAGCTTGGCCACACAGACTGAAAGGCAAAAGCAGGTCCCCATTGTCTTAAGAGCTGGGCTCCATCACCACCATCACCACCATCCTCATCATTAAGGCACGCGTGTGCTCGCGTCGGCAGTGTATACATGTCACGGGAGCGGAGACACGTGTACACACACACACACGTGCGTGTGTACACACACACACACGCGCAATGCACACGTGTACACGCACGTTGTGTGTACACGCGTACGTACGTATAATTCACCATCAAATGCATGTGCACAGACACGCACAGTATACTGACAGGTAACACGCGCACACAGATTTAGTCACGTTTTGACATACACGCGTGTACTGATGTGTACACGCGTTTAGTCTTGCAAGTGCTTTTTAGCGAGTGCGCGCACACACACACACACACTGACACACGTACACAAAGACACCGTCTCACCGTCACACGTTTTACACGAATGGTGCACACACAAACGTCACAGGCGGGACACACACACACACGTACACCTGCGTACACACTTGTAAACACGCACGCACGTACACGGACAAAGATCACCCTTGCAGTCTTTAACGGACTGCTGGGGCAAGTGCTGTTAGCATGAAGGCTGGCACAGTGCACCTATGAGGGGTGGGTGGCCAGCACCACGCCCGGCCGCCTTTGTCTCCCCGGTGCTGATGTTTAAGGCTGAGTCGACCTAAGACCGGTTCAGACGAACTTGAGTGGCCGGGTTTGTGGCGCGGTGCGATAGCCACTGCCGACACGGATGTACAACACAGATATTCTCACAAGCGCACGTATACATACGCGTAAACAGTTGCACACGCGCGCACACACACACGCGTGCACACACACACGCGCACACACAAAGACAAAGATCCCCCATACAGCCTTAACAGACTCTTGGGGCAAGTGCTGTTAGCGAGCACCTATGAAGGCCGGTAACGGTACACGAGGGGGTGGGTGGCCAGCACCACGCCCGACCGCCTTTGTCTCCCTAGTGGCAATGTTTACACACCGCACCAGGTACTCATTTGAGGCTGAGTCGACCTAGGGGAGGCCCGGGACCGGTTCAGATAATCGTCACTGGTGTTGGCCGTGAGCGGGAATCGAACCCGGGTCGCCAGGTTCATAGCGCAGCGCGCTAACCGCTACACTATCGCTCCCCACACACGTGTACACACACACGTGCACACACACGTGTACATACACACGTGTACACACACACACGTGCACACACACACACACGTGCACACACACACACACGTGCCCCGCCGCACGCGCCTCTATGGCTCTCGTCTCGTTTTCCCGCCAAAGCGCCAACAGTGGTTTCCGTGCCCAAAACTCTCGCCTCACGCGAATCTGGCTCGCGTTCACAACACATACATAGTATTCATAGATATCTGTGTAATAGAATAAGGTATCTTATAACGACAACATTTATAACATTTACCTCACTTAAATACAATAGCCGCCCCTTGTTGCTAGGCAACGCAGGGGCCACGCGACACGGCCGCCATTTTACATGTTTATGCTGCTTCCATTAATTGTCGCGTCTGTGGTTCTTGTAGCTTTTAAGCTGTCTCTTTGTTGTCGGAATTATTATGAAATAACAATGATTACCATTTGAATTAGTTTTGTTGTTGGCTTAATTACTGGGAGAGATAAGGTATCTTGGTAAAAGCAGAAAAGGGAAATGCTGAGGCTGGTGTCAAAGGTGTTAATACAGATCGGCCTTCTCTTACGGGCCTTGTCTAGGGTCAGGGGTAGTGTCTAGCGTCATCAGCAGAGTCATGGGTAGAGTCTCGAGCCAGGGGTAAAGTCATGGGTAAAGTCTCGAGCCAGGGGTAAAGTCGAGGCTGTGTGTAGAATCTCGATCCATGGGTAGAGTCATGGGTAAAGTCTCGATCCATGGGTAGAGTCATGGGTAGAGTCTCGAGCCAGGGGTAAAGTCATGGGTAAAGTCTCGAGCCAGGGGTAAAGTCGAGGCTGTGTGTAGAGTCTCGATCCATGGGTAGAGTCATGGGTAGAGTCTCGATCCAGGGGTAGAGTCATGGGTAAAGTCTCGATCCAGGGGTAGAGTCATGGGTAGAGTCTCGAGCCAGGGGTAAAGTCGAGGCTGTGTGTAGTCTCGATCCAGGGGTAGAGTCATAGGTAAAGTCTCGATCCAGGGGTAGAGTCATGGGTAGAGTCTCGATCCAGGGGTAGAGTCATGGGTAAAGTCTCGATCCAGGGGTAGAGTCATGGGTAGAGTCTCGAGCCAGGGGTAAAGTTGAGGCTGTGTGTAGTCTCGATCCAGGGGTAGAGTCATGGGTAGAGTCTCGAGCCAGGGGTAAAGTCGAGGCTGTGTGTAGAGTCTCGATCCAGGGGTAGAGTCATGGGTAGAGTCTCGAGCCAGGGGTAAAGTCGAGGCTGTGTGTAGAGTCTCGATCCAGGGGTAGAGTCATGGGTAAAGTCTCGAGCGAGGGGTAAAGTCGAGGCTGTGTGTAGAGTCTCGATCCAGGGGTAGAGTCATGGGTAAAGTTTCGAGCGAGGGGTAAAGTCGAGGCTGTGTGTAGAGTCTCGATCCAAGGGTAGAGCCATGGGTAAAGTCTCGATCCAGGGGTAGAGTCATGGGTAGAGTCTCAAGCCAGGGGTAAAGTCGAGGCTGTGTGTAGAGGCTCGATCCAGGGGTAGAGTCATGGGTAGAGTCTCGAGCCAGGGGTTAAGTCGAGGCTGTGTGTGGAGTCTCGATCCAGGGGTAAAGTCATGGGTAAAGTATCGAGCCAGGGGTAGAGTCATGGGTAAAGTTTCGAGCGAGGGGTAAAGTCGAGGCTGTGTGTAGAGTCTCGATCCAGGGGTAGAGTCATGGGTAAAGTCTCGGTCCAGGGGTAAAGTCGAGGCTGTGTGTAGAGTCTCGATCCAGGGGTAGGGTCATGGGTAAAGTCTCGAGCCAGGGGTAAAGTCGAGGCTGTGTGTAGAGTCTCGATCCAGGGGTAGAGTCATGGGTAGAGTCTCGATCCAGGGGTAGAGTCATGGGTAGAGTCTCGAGCCAGGGGTAAAGTCGAGGCAGTGTGTAGAGTGGGGATGAGAATCTGGATCCCCGTGCGGATTTGACTGCTGCCGCTCTAAAGCAAAAACGTCGAACGCTGCTACTGCGTAGCTACACAGGCAGGACGACGCTGGCGGTGGACAGGTGGTCTCCACCCGTTCCCATCTGTCCACCCGCGTCCACCTGCATGTGAGGGCGGCGTGCAAGTGTCTCTACATGTTTGTGATCTTGTCTGCCCACCTGTGTGTAACCGTGCATCTGAAGACATTTGTCTGCGCTTTGACTCTGCACGTCTTTGAGAGCGTACACCTGTGCATGTGATGTGTTCCGGCTGAAAACACGCGTGTTCCCGCGCGCTGTGCCTGCGTAACCTGACCCACCCCCAAGCAAATGTGGAATGTCGGCCCCAACCAAGGGCCAACGGCATCCAACCACGTGCCAGCGGCATTGGCTGCTTTACGCGGACGTTTGTGTTCCCGTGTGTACCTGTGTATGTCTGCACCAACTTGTGTGTGTTCCTGTGTATCTCGGTCTACGTGTGTGTGCGTAATCCTGCGTGTGTACCCGTGTGTGTGTGTGTGAACACCTGCGCGTGTACCCGTGTGTGTTGTGTGTGTTCTTGTATCCGGTCGGCAATGCGACTGGAACCACCACCGCACGGAGCATCGGCGGGGTTTGCCGTGATGAGGACTGAATTGTCACCGATCATTGCATCGTGCTGCTGCTGCGGCTGCTACTGCCGGTGACACCAAAGTTCAGGCGAATAATTCGGCCCAAGGTCGACGCAGCTCTTGAGGCTGCTGTTACCGCCGTTGTTGACGTTCAGCGCTGCGAGCGTCACGGTCGGTCGGCGTAGACTCTGCCGATGTTGCCACGTCGTCGTCTGTATCGAGACGGCCGGCGGCGACGTTGTCGTCTGAACGTCGTCGGAACTGGAGAGGCGCGGCGTCTCCTGTCGGGTCAAACTCGAGTCTCGGCGCCGCACCGCGGCAGTCCCCCGGCAATTCCACGAAGACCAAAAACACAAACCGAGATGACGACCACCACCACCACCACGGGAGGGCTGGGCCCGGAGCCGAACCCGGAGCCCACCGCGGGCTCTTAAGGTGCATGAAACCCCTCCCCCCCCCCCAGCCCCACCACCAACGTTGACTCCACCGCCACCGGCTCCCCCAACACTGAAACGTGTCCTTCACCGGGAGTCCAACTCGTACCAACGGTGGTGGGGGGGGGGGTCTCGGGGTTGGGAGGGAGAGGGGAGGGGAGCAGCAAGAATCCGTGGGCCAAGCCTCGCGAAGGCCTCGTCGGATGAAGGCCGATGGGCGAGCCGGCTGGGCAAAAGAGGGCCGAACCGGTCTAGGCGCGGCTTAGACCGGGCCAGACGGGAACGACGTAGGCCCGGCGTAGGCCCGGCGTAGGCCCGGCGTAGGCCCGGCGTAGGCCCGGCGTAGGCCCGGCTAAACCCAGCGCAGGCCGCACGGCGCCCTCCCGGCTCCGGCCACGGGCGACTCCGGGTCCCCGTTCATCGAGAGTCCGGAATCGTCGTCGTCTGACGAGGCGGCGCCGCCGCTGCCGCCGCCGCCGCCGCCGCTGGAGCTGCGCTTGCGCGGGAACCCGAGAGGTGCCGCTGGGGGCTCCGCGTCAGGGCTCTGGCGGGGGGCCCCCGCCACGGGCCCCGCTTCGGGGCCACGAGTCGCCGGCGAGGGGCGGCCCGCGTCGCCCGCGTCGTCGGCCAGGGGCGCCCCCCCTCCACCCGCGGCGCCGGTGGGCCCCTCGCCGGTGAGCCCCGCGCCGCCCTCGGGCGCGTCCAGCACCTGGTACTTGACCTTGGTGTTTGTGATGGCACCGTGCTTCTGGCGCAGGTGCAGGCGCAGCTGGCTCTTGTGGCGGAAGTGCAGGTCGCACGACTCGCACTGCCACACGCACGGACGAGCGAGCGAGTCAATGAGCGAGTGAGTGCACGAGCGAGCGAGCGAGACAGCGAGTGTAGTGCGGTGAGTATAGTGCAACGAGTGTTGTGGCGAGGAGTGCGGCGGGCACGGTGGCGAGTGTGCTGGGACCCACGTGATAGGGCTTCTCTCCCGTGTGGATGCGGATGTGACTCTTGAGCGTCTGCAGGTGACGGAAGCGCGTTCCGCACGTCTCACACGGGTACGGCTTCTCCCCCGTGTGGATCAGCACGTGGGCCCGCAGGTGAGCCACCTGCACCACCACCACGACAACCACAACAACCACGCAGGTGAGCCACCTGCACCACCACCAGCACAAGCACGCAGGTGCGATGCTTTAGACAATTGTCCCCGCTGCTGTGGCTTAAAAATCTGGTGTGTCCGGAGTGTCTCGTCGCAGCAGGGGTATCAGGAGATGCTGTCGCAACCGGCTGTGTCGGGGTCAACAGCTTCAGTCGCAGAAGATGATTTGGGGAGAGTGCGTGGTCAGGTGAGTGCGGGTGAGTGAGTGCATATTAGGTGAGTGCGGGGTGAGCGAGTGCATGTTAGGTGAGTGCGGGGTGAGCGAGTGCGGGGTGAGTGAGTGCATATTAGGTGAGTGCGGGGTGAGCGAGTGCGTGTTAGGCGAGTGCATGTTAGGTGAGTGCGGGGTGAGCGAGTGCGGGTGAGCGAGTGCGGGGTGAGCGAGTGCGGGTGAGCGAGTGTGGGTGAGCGAGTGCGGGGTGAGCGAGTGCGGGTGAGCGAGTGCGGGGTGAGCGAGTGCGGGGTGAGCGAGTGCGGGTGAGCGAGTGCGTGCGCGCCTCACCTGGACGAAGCAGGCCCCACAGGTGTCACACTTGTAGGGCTTCTCCCCCGAGTGGATGCGCGTGTGCGTCTTGAGGTTGGCCGGCCGGTTGAACTGCGCCCCGCACACCGTACAGCGGTAGGGCTTCTCTCCTGCTGGGTCATCGGGGCACGGGGTCACAGCCAGGGTCACGCTCACGCCTGGGGCGGCGACGGGGCGCCGCGCTGGGCGCCGTGCCAGGCTAGGTGTTCGCCCGCGCACGTACGAGCGATTTTTTTTTTACGGAGCCGTGGCTAGACCGGTGCCGGGCTGTGTGCCGGGATAGGTGCCCGCCCAAGCGAGCGACCGTACAGTGCCTTGGTTATCCCGGTGCCAGGCTACGTGCCCGCGTGAGTGTACAGCGGCGCGGTCACCGTGCCAGGCTAGGTACCCACCGGAGTGCACGGTGCGGTGGCTGGAGAGGTTGCCTTTGTAGCGGAAGGCGGCGTGGCAAGTGTCGCACTTGTAGGGCTTGTCGTCGGCGTGGATGCGGGCAATGTGGCGTCGTAGGGCGCCCTCTTCGGGAAAGCCCAGGCCGCACGCGCCGCACGCGCGCACGCACGTGGGGTCTACACGCGGTGGGGGAGGGGGGGGTGGACACACACGTGTGAGGCTTGCCGGTCTCAGTACGAGTCTATGGGCCTCTTGTGTGTGGGCCTACGGGTCTCCGAGTACGTGGGTCTATGTGCGTGAGCCTGCTGGTCTCCGAGTATATGGGTCTTTGAGTATGTGTGTCTGTGTTGAGTTTATGGGTCTCTCAGTCTGTGAGTACATGGGTCTCTGTATGTGTCTGTGGGTTTCCGTGTGTGTCTGTGGGTCTTCCGTGCGAGTGAGGAATCGTGACCCCGAATCGTGATCAGATTCGCCCCGTCTCGCTCGCTCGCTCCCCTTCTCACCGTGCGGCCCGTCGTGGCTTGGCGAGTTGGTCAGGCCGGGCGACATGGCGAGGCCTGGTGAGCCGGCGAGGCCGGGAGAGGCGGCGTGGCCGTCACCTTCTGGCGGGGGGCTGTCGGCGCTGTGGGCCACGGGGAGGCCCAGCTCGGGCCGCTTGAAGCCCCCCGATTCCTCCTTGAGCCTGCGTCGCCACGGGAACGCCGCGCTCGTTAACACGGCCACGGAAAACCCGAGCGACTCCTCCCATGAACTATATATTAAATGTTCACTGAAATCTTTAACTTGACTGCAGGAATTCATATTCTTTGGGTCTTTCGGTAAATTCACAAAGACAGGTTGAAAGAAAATAACAAAAAAATGCGACGTTTTGATCACGACACAAGCGATCGTCATCAAGAGGATGCTATATATATATTAACATACTTGTCAACCCCTTATCAGTGCCCTACCGTATTAGAGACCAATTCAGACCTTATTGGTCACCCCATGCCCGTATAAATCTCACCGTTCATGCTACAAAGTCCCATCACAAGGGAGAAACATAAACAAAGACACAGGTATATATTAACCATGTAAGGTCCCATTGAGCTGTGTGGCTCTTTTTCAGAAACGACCTGGCCATCACGAATGACAGCCCTACGAAGTGGCTTATCATGCGGAAATTTATAGCGGCCAAATACGCTCTAAACGCACGATGTTGACTCTCAATGTGGAGGGAAAAACCGGGGGGCTCTGGAGAAAAATCCACGCGACGACAGGGAGATGTGGCATCGGGGGGGGGGGGGGTCAAGGTGACGACGGCACCCCACGCACCTGTCCACCAGCTGCTTGAAGTGCGTGAGTTGGTGGATCCCGGAGATCGCCGCCGACGGCGGTGCCCCCCACTCGCCCGCTGGCCCCCTCGCCTCCGACCCCCCCTCCAGCTTCATCACGTCGAACGCGGCCACGCAGGTGGCGCGTGGCGGCGTCGGCGAAGAGGAGGCGGGAGTAGAGGCGAGGGCCGAGGAGGAGGGGTGAGGCGGTGGCTGGGCCACGGCGCTGCCGACGATGGGGCCCAAGTCCCAGGGGAACAGAGCCGGGGCCCCCTCGTCCCTCCCGTCCCTCCCGCGCGGCGTCACGGGGGACAGCGTGGTCATCACTTTGGCCTCCGGCGTCGGCGAGAGCCGGGTGGGCGGAGTGGAGGGCGCCGCCGCCGCCGCCGCGGCCGCCGCGGCAACGGTGGAGGGGGGGGTGGGGGGGCAGGCGTCCCCGCCGCCCGCACCGCCGTCCGAAGTGGGCGACGAGGAGGAGGAGGATGGGGAGGACGGCGGGGAGGACGAGGTGGACGAGGTGGACGTCGTCTGCACGAGGAACCGTCGCTTCTTCCAGTTGCAGGACTTGACCTGGCCGCCGGCGGGGGCCACCTCCCGGTGGCCGTCAGGAGGGCTGCTCGGCTCCGACACCCGGCGGGCGGAGGGGGCGCCGGGGGGCCCCGCCCCCTCCGAGGGCCCCTCGGCCGCGGGGCCTCCTCCGGAGGGGCTCGCGGGGTCTGCGGCGGCAGGGGCCGGGGCGGAGGCCCAGCGGCGGGGCGCGGCGGGAGGAGGGGGGTCCGGGAAAGTGAAGCGAGGGGGCGGGCCCATGGGGTGGTGCTGCTGCGGCTGCTGCTGAGGCGGTGGTGACGGGGGACCCCGGAGGAACAGCGGCGGGGGAGCGAGGGGGCCCCCCAGGGGGAACCCCGGGTTGATGCCGCACAGCAGCGTCGGGGGGAATGAGCCGTGGATGTTGGGGTCCAGATTGCGGAGACGTTCCGGCAGAGCTTGGGGACTGTGGGGACACCACGGGGACACGCGGGCGTCAGCAAGACGGACGTCCCGTTAACTCACTCGTGCTCTCGCTCTCTCTCTCTCACTCTCTCCACAACTCTCACTCTCTCTCTCTGTCCACCACACTCGCGCTCTCATTCTCAACACGCCCTCAACGCTCGCGCTCTCTCAACGCTCTCCCCCCTCACCTGTCGAGGAAGGCCTCGCAGGTGCGCACCACGTGCTCCATGTGCAGGTAGCGCGCGGCGGCCATGACGCCGAGCACGGAGTCGAGGGAGAGCGGCAGGCGCGACGTGTACATGAAGTCCAGCAGCACCTCGAGGCCGCACGGGTCCACGCCGGGCAAGGGCAACACCCTCGTCCCGCCGCCGCCGCCGCCACAGCCGGCAGGGCCGCGCGACTCCGCCAGCACGCTGTAGAAGAACCCGCTGCGCGACATGCGCGTGCCGGGAGAAGCAGCGACAGTGGCGGGGGGGGGGGCGAGAAGAGAGATACAGGGCATGGGGGTCAGAGGTCGTCGACAATTCTCAGAGGAGGTGCCGGTGATTGTGATTTCAGCGGTGGTGGTGGTGACGCTGATGATGGTGGTGGCGTGGTGCTGGCCACCCACCCCCTCGTGTACCTTGCCTGCCTTCATAGGTGCTACTCGCTAACAGCACTTGGCCCAACAGTCTGTCAAGGCTACACGGGGGTCTGTGCCGTTGTTGAAGGCGGCGGTGGTGGCCGTGGTGCTGAAGGAGATGTAGTTGCAGGGCGAGTGTGTTGCCCTCCCTACGCTACTCCCACGGCTCTACCCTCGCCCATTCGAATAAACTTCAACTGCCCCCCCCCCCTCACCTCACCTCTAGCACTGCCCCCTGTTCCACCCCCACCCCCTTTTTCCCTGTGCCCCCCTTCACCTCCCTCTCACGCACAGTGCCATTTCCGTAACCCCCCCCCCCCTCCCACCCCCAGTTTCCGTGACCCCCTCGCCCCCCCCGCCCCGCCCCGCCCTCCCCTCCCGCACCTGCACGCGGCGAGCACGGCGCTGTGAGCGGGGAAGTCTCGCCCGCCGGCGCGCAGCGTGACGTCGGTGAGGGCGGAGCGCGCTCGCAGCTCCTGCAGGTTGCGCAACACGTCGCGAGCGTGCTGCGTGAACTCCCGCACGCTCTCTGGCCCCGCGCAGCCGGCGCCGACGTCGTCGCCGCGAAAACCGCCGGGGTCCCCGCCGTCGCCGAGGAAGCCTCCTCTGTCGCCACAGAAACCGACTTCTCCTCCGTCGCTGGGGCAACCGCGACGTGACGCCATTGCAAGTGGCCGCCGGGGGGGGGGGGGGGCGGCAGCGAGAAGGCGAGGGAACTGGGATGGGGGAGGGGGGGGGGTGGTGGAAGTCCGAATACTGTTGGGTTGGAGGGGGGGGGGAGCAGGTACAGGTACGCACGGACACACGCACGCACGCACGCACAGCGACGCACGCCGTTAGACACGGACACTTGGTAGGGATTTACCCCCACGGGCTGCTGCGGAGAGTGCTGTTAGCGAGCGCCTATTCAGGCTGGCACGTCGCATCTATGGGGGGGGGGGAGCGGTGGTGTTGGCCAGTGGTGGGGTCATCGCCAGTTGCGGTGTTTAGCTGCTGCGCCAGGCACTCGTTTACGGCCGAGGGCAGGCCCAGGAACCACCAATGTTGGCCGTGGTCCGGAATCGAGCGTTGCTGGGTATCGGGGCAAAATGTGCCAACCACTACACCCCCCAATCACACCACACCTTTACCGGCTCCACACAAGTCCACCACACACACACAAACACGTCAAAAAATATCCCCCCCGTGTAGCCTCGACAGACTGTTGGGGGCAAGTGCTGTTAGCGAGCAGCACCTATTAAGTCCAGCACGGCGCACGAGGGGGTGGGTGGCCAGCAACCGCGCACGGCCGCCTTTGTCTCCCCGGTGGCGATGTTCACCCATCGCATCGGGTTCCCGTTTGTGAGGCTGAGTCGACCCAAGGGAGGGCCAAGACCGGCCCAGATGTTCGTCACCGATGTTGACCGCGAACGGGAATAGAGGTCGGGTCGCCGGGTTCGTAGGGCAACGTGCCAACCACACACCACAGTGGTATGGGCCACAGTGCAAGGAATTTGTCCGATTACATACCCCCACATCACCCCCCCCCCCGCACCCCCACCCAACCCCTCCCCTTGGCAGCCCACCACCTGTGGCATCCAAACCGAGAGCCTGCGGGGGGCGCTGCAGCACGGGGAACAGCCCGGTCGAGGGGAGGCCCAGGACTGGTTCAGACATTCGTCACTGGTGTTGGCCGTGAGTGGGAATCAAACTCGGGCGACTGGGTTCATAGCGTTCTAACCACAACACTCCCCCACGTTAGCCAACTACTACCAACACGAGTGTGACCCTAGCTCATCAGTACCACTAGAGGGAGTAGCTCACCCACTCGAGCCATTGCCTGCGTAGCTCAAGCTCAAACCCTGCCCCCAGAACACCAACTTACAACCATAACCGCAACCCCTACATCTCACATTTGCCCCAAGGCCTGACCTGTCACCCCCGACCTCTTAATGCCACCCCTCAGGCGCACTGCCAGCCCTGTCACCCCTGACCTCTCAACATCACCCCTGACCTCTCAACATCACCCCTAACCCATGTCACCCCTGACCTGTCAACATCACCCCTGACCTCTCAACATCACCCCTAACCCATGTCACCCCTAACCTCTTAACATCACCCCTGACCTCTTAACATCACCCCTGACCTCTTAACATCACCCCTGATCTCGTAACATGACCCCTAACCCATTAATATCACCCCTGACCTCTCAACATCACCCCTGACCTCTCAACATCACCCCTGACCTTTTAATATTACCCCTGGCCACGCAAGGTCAGCCCTGACTTGTCCGTGCCACCTTAAGCCCCGTCACCCCTGACCCCACCCATCTCTCTTTCGCGAGACCACACGGGAGCTAAATTTAGACAACATTGAGGGCAGAAGCAAGGCGGGGGGGGGGGAAACGCGGAGATCTTTATTGGAGTTCAACCGTGAGTGCAGAGCGCGTGGCGCGTCTCGGGCGCCTTCATCGTCGTTGGGTAATCGGCATCACCGTGTCATCAGCACTACTGTGCCACCACCACCAACACGAGAGTAATTAATAATTGGTGGGAGACCTGTAGCGTGGAGTCGCAGCAGTGGTATTGTTGGGCGTCGGCGCCGTGTGCATGGCCGATGTTGAAGACAGTGGTGACGATTGTAATGGTGGCGATGATGATGATGATGCTATTGATGATGATGATGATGTTTGTGCTGATGATGGTGGTGGCTCGGGGATAGGAGGCAAGGTCGGCTGTGAAGTTCGCCTTTATGAGTGACGATTCCGATTATGCGGAGAGTAGCGATGGTGGCTGGGCCGTTGCTGCAGGGCCGGAAAAACCAACTCATCATCAATTACCGGGGAGACAAAAGCGGCCAGGCACGCGTCTGACCCCCCCCCCCAACCTCCCCGCGTCCCTCCCCCCCCCCCGCACACGCCGACCTTAATAGGTGCTCGCCAACACCCCCAGGGAGAGACAGTCACAGGGAACACGATGTTCCTGCCAAGTAGCACAGCCCATTGCTCATTAAAGACACTCATTAAGGAGTCACGTGAGGGGAGAGGAGGAGGAGGGGGGGGATACGTTGGCAATCACCTGTGTGTATGTACCTGGCCTACGGGCTATCCGTATAGAAGTGACAAAAGTTCCACCCCCCCCCCACCCTTGTCCTGTGTAGCCAGCCCTCACACAGGCTGTATGGGGCAAGTGCTGTTAAAAGCAATCACCCAATTCGATGTTCAAGTTGATTTTGCGTTAGCAGGTGAGAAGCTCTTCAGAGGAGGGGGTAAACCCAGGAGGAGATGAGTCTCAATTCGCAAGAGTGGCCTGCGGCAAGAGCCTCTTGCCAGCAGGAGGCGATGCTTGCTGCTGCTGCTGCTGCGTCTGCTGCGTATAAAGCCCAGGAGAGTCATTTGCGGTGTCGCTTTCGCATACGGACAATTTGTGGGGATTTTTGGGGGGTTATTGGTGATGCGGCCAGGAAAAAAAAATAAACCGTGGCAGGCCGCCTTTGTCTCCCCGGCGCCGATGTTTTCACACCGCGCCGGAGGTACTGATTACTCGTTTGTGGTTGAGTCGACCTAGGGGGAGGCCCAGGCCCAGTTCAGATATTCTTCGCTGATGTTAGCCGTGAACGGGAATGTTGAGTCTGGCAGTGTTTGTGGTTGGGAATAGTGTGTGTGTGTGATGTGTCAGTATATCTGTGTGCCAGTACATGTGTAAAAGTAATAACTGCCTAGAAAAGACTTGTACACCACAAACCCCTGGGAGCCAAGTATGAACATAGATCCTGATCTCTAGTTTCAGTTTAATCAAATTATAATTAAGTAGCTCCCGGCACAGCACACGGGGGGGGGGGGGGGGGTGGGCGGCCAGCACCACGCCCGGCCGCCTTTGTCTCCCTCGTGACGATGTTTACACATCGCACCAGGTACTCATTTGGGGCTGAGTCGACCTTGGGGAGGCCCAGGATCGGTTTAGATAATCGTCGCTGGTGTTGACCGTGAGCAGGAATCGAACTCGGGTCGCTGGGTTCAGAGCGCAGTGCGCTAACCACGATGCTACTGCTCCTCCCCACACATACACACACACACGTACTAACTCAGCCACCAACCCATACCCTACACAAACAAATAACACCACCCCACACACACAAACCCCCACACACCCCACAACCAAGCCTCCCTACCCTCCTTGTGGTGGCAGCGTGACCTGGCACGAGGAAGCGTTCGTGTAGCGTTACACACGTGTGTGTGGTGTGAGTGATGTGTGTCTCGGGTGTGAGTGGTGTGTGTGGGGTGAGGGTGTGGTGTGTGTGGGGTGTCTGTGTGTGCGGGTGCGTGTGTGAGGTTTGAGTGGTGTGTGTGGGGTGTGTGCGAGTGGTGTGCGTGGGTGGGGTGTGTGCGAGTGGTGAGTGTGGTGTGTGTGGGGTGTGTGTGTAGTGTGTGTGGGGTGTGTGGGGTGTGTGAGTGGTGGGTGTGTGTGGGGTGTCTGAGTGGTGGGTGTGTGAGTGGTGGGTGTGTGTGGGGTGAATGTGTGGGGTGTGTGTGGGGTGAATGTGTGGGGTGAGTGTCGTGTGTGTGTGGTCTGAGGTGTGTGTGTACGGTGCGTGAGTAGTGTGTGTGTACGGTGCGTGTGTGGTGCGTGCGTGCATGTGTTATGTACATAGTACATAGCATGTGTATCGTGGCGTGCAGAATGTGGTACGTGTGCTATGCGTAGTGTGCGAGGCGTGTGTACCGAATCTATCTATAGCGCAGCTCTGTAATCGTCACCCCCCCCCCTCCCCCACTGTGGCGAAGATAATTTGGGGGGGGGGGGCCCACCGAAGATAATTTGGGGGGGGGGGGGGAGGGGGGGGTTGGCCCACCCTGCCCCGCCAACGCCACCACCAAAACATTCAAACGATGAGCGGTGGTGACGCGACTCTGCGTGTGTACGGGCCCCCCCCACTGTCGCGGTTCGGATCCCATCGGTTTGCCTCCTCCCCACCCCCCCACCACCACCAGCCCTAGTTAATACTGCGGGGGATGTATCCACCGCGGGGATGTTTATCAACCGCGGAAAGGCGAGCGGGACTCGCACAGGGGAACTTGACGTTATTCGCCACGAGCGAGGCGGGCACGTTCCACATTATTGTTGGAAAAGTTTTAAAAAATGCCAAAGTTTGAACCAAAAAAATAATTAAAGTTGGGGGGAGCGGGGGGGTGGAGAGATGAGAAAAACAGACAAACAATGCAGCTGCATCAGGAGCAATAGCACTATGTAACACGATTTCTGACCCTGGGTGGTGTTATTTTTTTAATTGCTTATGCCTTAAAAGTACAGAAAATTGCTACAAACTTTGCCTCTGTGACCAGGACTTTATGTGAAGGAATGACACAAATGCACACCACGTTTTCTCAATGAAAACAGGTGCATTTCTAAATATCACTGTCCTGGTCACAAAATCAAAGTTTGTGGGGAATAATAGCCCATTTTCTGGACGTTTGAGGCATTAGCAATTAGGAAATAACACATTACCCAGGAACAAAAAAAAGTTTTTTTTGCGACAGTGTTATTAACCCCCCCACTGCCAATGGAAAACGTGGCAAGACCCTCCTGCAGAAAGTGTCATGAGACTCGGGCAAGGTGGGGGGGGGGGGGCTTGGGGGGCGTGAACATGCGGAACGTGAAGAGGCACTTCTGGAAGCAAACCCAGCGCTAGCAGCAGCAGCGGTGAGTCGCTATTTGATTATTTATAGACTACTACAGTCGCTCACGATGTTATAGACTGTGTATGGCTGCGTCGGTGGTGGTTGTTATTGATTTATTATTTGTGCACTCACGATCACGAGTTCTGATTTAGGGACAGACCGAATCGATAAAAAAACATTATTTATGGACTGTATGGCCACCGTGATAGCGATTACAGAATTTTTAGATTGCATTGTTGGCTAGACTGTTTCGTGTATTTTGTTATATATACTGTAATGGTTAATTTATAGACTGTATTGGTATATGTATACAGTACTGTACGATTCTTACTTATAGACTGCATGGCAATTAATTATTAATTTATAGACTGCGTTGCATGCATTGACCGCATGTATTTTAACGTATGTACAGACTGCATGTATTATCTTACTTTAGAAATTGAATTCCTGTACTATTGATTGTAGACTGTGTTGTGCCAGTACTGCACGGTAACTTCACAGGCTGTGCGTGTATGGCTGCGGTGCGCGGTTCTAATCTCGGGGAAGCAGCAAGGGATCGTGGGGGGCAGGGGGTAGTCTGGGGCTTGTTCCGGAAAACACTCACCACTCACCCTCACACCGCTCCCCCTCACCCTCACCACTCACCCTCACCACTCACCCTCACCACTCACCCTCACCGAGTCCTCACACCACTCACCCTCACACCACTCACCCTCACCACTCACCACTCACCCTCACACCACTCACCCTCACACCACTCCCCCTCACCCTCACCACTCACCCTCACACCACTCACCCTCACCACTCACCACTCACTCCACACTCACACCATATACAAAGCATACACACCATACACACCACTCACTCCCTATACATAGCACACACACCATACACACCACACATTCCACACTCACACCATATACATAGCACACACACCATACACACCACACATTCAACACTCACACCATATACATAGCACACACACCAAACACCACACATTTCACACCCTATACATAGCACACACCATACACACCACTCACTCCATATACATAGCACACACACCATACACACCACACATTCCACACTCACACCCTATACATAGCACACACCATACACACCACACATTCCACACTCACACCATATACATAGCACACACACCATACACACCACACATTCCACACTCACACCCTATACATAGCACACACACCACACTCACACCATACACATAGCACACACACCATACATACCACGCACACACACAGCATACACCCCACTCACACCATACACCACAGCACACACTCCACTCACACCATACACCGCACTCACACCATATACCCCACTCACACCCACCGTACACCCCATTCACACGAACCATAAGCACGCCCGCAATAACACTCCGGCTGATACACCCCCGCACACACACAAACACGTACACATTCTACCACACACACACACGTCAAACACATGCACCACACACATCATACACGAACCCTGCACACGCGCACGCTGCACGGACGCTAAAGGAAAAGTCGGGTGAGATGCATAGGGGGAGAGACGCGGGGAGACGCGTGGAGACAGGGGGAGACGCGGGGAGACAGGGGGAGACGCGTGGAGACAGGGGGAGAGACGCGGGGAGACGCGTGGAGACAGGGGGAGACGCGGGGAGACAGGGAAAGACGCGTGGAGACAGGGGGAGACGCGGGGAGACAGGGGGAGAGACGCGGGGAGACAGGGGGAGAGACGCGGGGAGACAGGGGGAGAGACGCGGGGAGACGCGTGGAGACAGGGGGAGACGCGGGGAGACAGGGAAAGACGCGTGGAGACAGGGGGAGACGCGGGGAGACAGGGGGAGAGACGCGGGGAGACGCGTGGAGACAGGGGGAGACGCGGGGAGACAGGGGGAGAGACGCGGGGAGACAGGGGGAGAGACGCGGGGAGACAGGGGGAGAGACGCGGGGAGACGCGTGGAGACAGGGGGAGACGCGGGGAGACAGGGGGAGAGACGCGGGGAGACAGGGGGAGAGACGGGGGGAGACGCGTGGTGACAGGGGGAGACGCGGGGAGACAGGGGGAGAGACGCGGGGAGACAGGGGGAGAGACGCGGGGAGACGTGTGGAGACAGGGGGAGACGCGGGGAGACAGGGGGAGAGACGCGGGGAGACAGGGGGAGAGACGCGGGGAGACAGGGGGGGAGACGCGGGGAGATAGGGGGAGAGACGCGGGGAGACAGGGGGAGTAACGCGGGGAGACGCGTGGTGACAGGGGGAGACGCGGGGAGACAGGGGGAGAGACGCGGGGCGAGAGGGGGAGAGACGCGGGGCGATAGGGGGAGAGACGCGGGAAGACAGGGGGAGAGACGCGTGGAGACACGGGGAGAGACGCGTGGAGACACGGGGAGAGACGCGTGGAGACACGGGGAGAGACGCGTGGAGACAGGGGGAGAGACGCGTGGAGACACGGGGAGAGACGCGTGGAGACACACGGGGAGACGCGTGGAGACACGGGGAGAGACGCGTGGAGACACGGGGAGAGACGCGTGGAGACACGGGGAGAGACGCGTGGAGACACGGGGAGAGACGCGTGGAGACAGGGGGAAAGAGACGCGTGGCCAGACACGGGGCCAGATACGGGTTTGAGACAGGGGGTGTTGAGACGCGTGGAGACACGGGAGACACGTGGAGACACGGGGGGAGAGACGCCAAGGTGGGACGCGTGTAGAGACAGACGATACGGAGAGAGACGCGGGGGGAGAAAGAGCGAGAGACGCGAGGATATGTAACGAAGGGAGGAGAGAGGAGATACGCCAGAGGCGGCAGGGCTCCACGAGAGGAGAGAGACGGAGGGGGGAGTGCTGAAGCGCTTGAAACAGGGAGGAGAGCAGGACAGTGTGGGACACAGCTACGCACACAGCGAACCGCACATACTCTGAGCCTCCCTGTGTCTCTGTCACCCCCACTGTGTCTCTGTCACCCCCACTGTGTCTCTGTCACCCCCCCCGTGTCTCTGTCACCCCCCCCCGTGTCTCTGTCACCCCCCCCCGTGTCTCTGTCACCCCCCCCCGTGTCTCTGTCACCCCCCCCGTGTCTCTGTCACCCCCCCCCCGTGTCTCTGTCACCCCCCCCGTGTCTCTGTCACCCCCCCGTGTCTCTGTCACCCTGTGCCTCTGTCACCCTGTGCCTCTGTCACCCCGTGTCTCTGTCACCACCCCCCGTGTCTCTGTCACCCAGTGCCTCTGTCACCCTGTGCCTCTGTCACCCTGTGTCTCTGTCACCCTGTGCCTCTGTCACCCCGTGCCTCTGTCACCCTGTGCCTCTGTCACCCTGTGCCTCTGTCACCCCGTGTCTCTGTCACCCCGTGCCTCTGTCACCCCGTGCCTCTGTCACCCCGTGCCTCTGTCACCCTGTGCCTCTGTCACCGTACCGAGGCGTCTCTCGCCGCCCGCGTCTTTCTGCGTCTGTCCATGTGGCACTCTGTCTCCCTTCGTGTCTCCCCCCGTGTCGCTCTCTCTCCCACCCCGCGTCTCCCACCCAGTCACCCACCCCGCGTCTCCCACCCCGCGTCTCCCACCCAGTCAACCACCCAGTCACCCACCCCGCGTCTCCCACCCAGTCTCCCACCCCGCGTCTCCCACCCCGCGTCTCCCACCCAGTCACCCACCCAGTCACCCACCCCGCGTCTCCCACCCAGTCACCCACCCAGTCACCCACCCCGCGTCTCCCACCCAGTCACCCACCCCGCGTCTCCCACCTCCTCCTCCTCCCCCACGCCGCTGTCTGTGTCACTGTGACCCTGCCGCGCGCCGCGGAATCCGCGCGCGCTGACGTCACCCGGCAGGAGACATCGCGTGCACAAACACACAGAGCCAAGTCACCCACACACACCCACTCCTCCCTCACCAACACTCACCAACACACACACACCCACTCCTCCCTCACCAACACTCACTCACCAACACACACCCACTCCTCCCTCACCAACACTCACCAACACACACCAACACTCACCAACACACACCCACTCCTCCCTCACCAACACTCACCAACACACACCAACACACACCCACTCCTCCCTCACCAATACTCACTAACACACACCCACTCCTCCCTCACCAACACTCACCAACACTCACCAACACACACCCACTCCTCCCTCACCAACACTCACCAACACACACCCACTCCTCCCTCACCAACACTCACCAACACACACCAACACTCACCCATACACACCCACTCCTCCCTCACCAACACTCACCAACACACACCCACTCCTCCCTCACCAATACTCACCAACACTCACCAACACACACCAACACACACCAATACACACCCACTCCTCCCTCACCAACACACACCAACACTCACCAACACACACCCCCTCCTCCCTCACCAACACACACCCACTCCTCCCTCACCAACACTCACCAACACACACCAACACTCACCAACACACACCAACTCCTCCCTCACCAACACTCACCCATACACACCCACTCCTCCCTCACCAACACTCACCAATACACACCCACTCCCTCACCAATACTCACCAACACTCACCAACACACACCAAGACACACCCACTCCTCCCTCACCAACACTCACCAACACACACCCACTCCTCCCTCACCAAAACACACCCACTCCCCCCTCACCAACACTCACCAATACACACCCACTGCTCCCTCACCAACACTCACCCATACACACCCACTCCTCCCTCACCAACACTCACCCATACACACCCATACACACCCACTCCTCCCTCACCAACACACACCACCCCCACCAACACTCACCCATACATCCTCACCAATACATACATACACACCCTCACCCATACACACATCCTCACCCACCCTCATACGGGCCATCACCCACAAACCCATACACTCTCGCAAATAAACTCCCATCACCTACACCCGGACTCTCAAACCCCCATTTGCATACATACAGACACACACACACGCCTTGTGTGCGTGTGCTCCCCCATACACTCCCCGACTCGCCCACACGCACGCAAGCA